CCTGTTTAATGGTTTCTGGAAGCTCCCCATCACTGCGGTTAAAGTGTCTGATCTATAGTTGCCGGGAGTTTTACACCTTTTTTTTGAACAAGAATGTAACACTTGCAATTTTCCAGTTCTCTGGCACCACCAGAGGCTAAGGAAGGCTGAAAAGTTATGGTCAGTATCTCTGCATGTTTGAATTTCGCTTCCCTGCGTACTGGATGTTTTATTACCCTTCAAACAGCCTACCCAACATCAACATTTTATAAATTTTAAACCTTTCTGGCATCTCAATTACTTCCTATTTTACCATGTCCTGTGCAATATTTTATTCTTTGGCAAAGACATTTGCAAAGTATTCATACAATACCTCAGTCATGTTCTGTTCGTCCGTATGTAGATTGATTTTTTTTGGTCTGAAAACAGTCTGATTCCATTTTCATTTATGAGACTATAGCAGACTCATGGGTTTGCTTTTTATGATAGCTAGCTGTCTCCTTTCATACACAACCAGTGCTTCTCTTATTTGCCTTTTAAACTCACCTTTGGACCTTCTATTTTATCTAGATTCTTGGTTATATATCAAGAGCATGTTTTTCCTTTTTCATCTTAATCCCTTTCTCTTTTGTTATCCAGCGAATTTTGATGTGGTTTGACCTAAGTTTCATGACTTTGGCCGACCCCTTTCCCCTTTAAAGACATGCCATTGTTCAGTTACTGGAAGACCATAAAAGGTAGAAGCAAAAATAGGCCATTCAGCCCATCAAATCCACTCTGCTGTTCAATGAGATTATGGCTGATCTAATAATCTTTAAATCTGCTTTTGTGCCTTTTCCCTATACCCCTTGATTCCCTTACTGATTAAAAATCTGTCTCTATCAGCCTTGAACATTCTTGATGACTGAGTCTCATCAGCCTTCTTCAGTAAAAAAATTCCGTACATTCATACTTCATTTGAAATTCCACTTCACCTCTGTGTTAGATGGGTGCCGCCATATTCTGAGAATTCACCCTCTGATCCTTGACTCTTCCACATTGGAAACAACCCCTGTGCATGTACACTTTTAAGCCCCTTAGGAATCCTACATGGGCTCAGAGAAAGAGAGAAAGTTATGAAGTCTAAATCAGGGTTGCTGTGCATTTTGACTGCAACATTGGGCTCCTGTTGATTTGAGTCACATCCATCTTCACCATTTTGAAGTTGGCTACCCTCTAATGAATTAATTTCACTCTGCATTTTTTCTTGTCCTTTTCCAAAGCCAACTTAAATCTTATGATACAAAACTTACTGTCCACAAAATCTACTTGGCACATCTCATTCCCAAGAATCAAGTGTAGCAGTGCTTTTTTTTTCTTATTGGATATTGCTGCAGAAAAAAAATTCCTGGACACACTGTAGGATCTCGCATCTCTCCCTGCCCTTTACGCTACTACGATCCTTATTTATATTCAGATAATTGAAGCCCCCTGTTATAGCTATTCTACCAGTTTTGCATATATGTGTAATTTCCTTGCAAATTTGTTCCTCTACACTTTTCCCACTCGTTCATGTCCAAAGACAATACTAAGCAATTTAATTGCATTTTGATTTGTTGGTTCTAGCCAAATAGATGTGTCCTGGGCCCTCTGGAACATCCTCTTTCTCCAGCAACACAATGTTTTCCTTAAACAAAATTGCCAATCTTCCCCTTTCCTTTCTCGCTTGTCTGTTCTGGAGACCTAATACACAGGAATATTTAACACCCAGTTTTCCCTTTTTGAAGCAGGTCTCTGTTTATCACCAGAATGTCATAATTCCATATGGTAATCTGCACTGCAACTTACCAAACATATTTACCACACCCTAAACAGATGTGTAGTGCATCTCGTTTTAGACATTATCACTTTCTCCTTTACTCTGTACCCACCTAATAACGTATAATGCCCAGCTGCATATCTCTCTGCTAGTACTATGTTCTATTCCCCGTCAAGTTAAACCTTCTCCAGCAGCACTAATAAATTGCCTAGCAAGTAAATAGTCTTTTTAAGTGCAGTTCATCTGGCACGTTCAGGTCCTATTCCCGTAAACTGGTCCCAGTGTGCTAGGAACGTAAAACCAACCTTTCTGCAACATTTTTCAAACCACATATTCACCTGCTTTATCCTCCTAGCCTGGTGCCAGGAAGAATCTGGAGATTACTGCTTTTGGGGTCTTGCTTGCTACTTTCCTACCACCTCCCTATATTCTAACTGCAGGATCACATCGCACTTTCTGCCTATGTCATTGGTATCACTGCGGACCATCCCCACTGGTGCTCATCCTCCCCTTCTGGATGCTTTGCAGCCATTCTGTTTAATCAGTACACTAGTTCCCAAATGATTAATAATCTGCATCACTACTGAAGGATATTATTAACTAAGCAGCTACTAATTCCTTTTGCTATATCTAGGGAAGGTCCACAAGGAGGTTATAAGCTTCCATTAATCATATTTAATTGAGTTGGACAGGCAGTGTCGGTGATTTTCTGCCTTTATAAAGGCTGATTGCATTCCACACTGCATTACTAATACTTTACTGGAAATAAAACCTCTCACAATACTCAAAGCTGAATATTATTATTTTCTGTATATTTATCCATGTACTCTGAGCTATAAATGTTAATGCAATGACTGATTGACATGTTTTTAAAAACATTGCCAACTGTGTGAACAATTGCTTTGTTTACTCTATAACAATTAGTTACAACTAGATCTGAGCAGAAACATTTGAAATTTCATGACCAAGCAGTCCTCCATTTTTGCCAAACCACAACCAGGAAACTGAAACATCTGTGCATCTGCCTCATTGCTGCAGTTAAAAAAAAAAATCATTTTCTATGATCTGCTTTCATTTGAGAGTATTTGTAAATTTTACATATTTCTTCATTTGATCTGTATAGAACTGACTGGAATAGACTGCTTTTCCAGATCATTAAATACAAAGAAAAACACAATCAAGACAGTGTTGTTTATCTACAAGCATCTAAATGTTATCTTATGTATGCTATGTAACTGTGCTGCTAACTGTGGCTCCCTGGAGCCTGAGCTAATTGTGTTGGGAATTAGGCTGAAGTAAAACACAGCAGTTGGTATCCTGATTTACGGTTCCACAGTGGTAATGAGATTGATGGCAACATACTGTATTTGAAAAGGGATTGCTTGAAGAAATCCAAAGGACCAAATAATTTACGAGTAGAATAACAAAGTTGGACAAATTTTTACACTATTAAATGTTCTGTTTTTCCATGAATGCTTCTGTTTTACTATGTTGTGAACCAATTTGTTACAATCATACTTAAATTTTTGAGTATTTTGCTAAGTAATTAGAAATGTATACACTAAAGGATTGAAGCTGGAGATTTTTTTCTGTGACTCTTTTTCAGTTGCCAGTGTATTACTATCCATCTGGCCAGTACCCTACCTCAACAGCCCAACAGTTCAGACCTGTTGCTTCTGTTCAATACAATGCACAGCGAAGTCAGCATATACCACAGACCACACAACAGACAGGTATGGCACTTCATCTGTGTTGTTTGATTTCCCCAACAGAAATTGCAAATCTACCCTTGAGTCTGTGTCTAAATTTTGATTTGGAGCCAGTGGAAACAGGGACAAATGGATTTGGCCTTCATAGCTACATGCTTGATGAAGGTGTTGCGGACATATTTAAATAAGTGGTCTCTACAGCTACACTTTGCATTGAATGATGTATCAAAATCAAGCAGTGTTTTCTTTGAGCTTCAACTCCAGTCCGCATTCCTGCCTTTTCATTTCAATTCTTTGTAATTCCGGTTAATGTGCCTGTATTACACATTTTGGTTGGTTATGCACCATTTTGTGTTGTCAGTTTCTATAAGTGGGACTTTGCTCTTACAATTGGAAATCTGTGACATTTTTAGGTGCAGTCCTAGCAGAATACATGAACTTGTAGATTAATGATGATTGCATTTACAGCAATAATACCACAAGTAATGTAGAATTCCCATGACATCTTCAGACTGTTTGAGCAAGTGAAAATCATAGATCAGGGATTTGACAAGATGTAATGAATAGCCAATATTTTTGAAAATGAACCAAGTTAACTTATAAAACACAGTGAATAAGGTAATTGAAATAGTGAATGTCAATAAAAGGTCCTTGTGTGCTTCTTAGTAGGAGAATACTGTTTTGCACTGTGTCTGGACATCATCAGATTTACATCCATACATATGAACATACGAGTTTATAGCGGGAATAGGCCATTTGGCACTTAAGACTTCTCCTTCATTTAATAAGATCATGAATGAGCTGACTGTAACCTACATTCCACATTCCCGTCCACTCCCAAATACCTTGTACTCCCTTGCTGACCAAGAATCTATCCACCCTTCCACGATTCAGCTCGAATTACAAAATCTGTATACAGACTCTGTACTTATCCATTTAAATGTAAACAAAAGAAATATCATCAGAAAACACTTCATTGATTTAGAAATACCTGTGGGTGACTTTCACAACTATCAGTATTATCAGGTCTATGACATCAGGTTGGACGATGATGTTCCGCAGTAATTAAACTTCCATAAAGAATTTCTGATTCAAGAATGAGGTGTCTGTGTCCAGTTTAGGGTGTCATCAATTCAATTCCAGAAAAACACGGCCTGGCATTTAGAATTGATAGCTTAAAATGTTTGCTTAAGTAAATTTCTAAGGAACAAAACTTAATTATGCTCTTGGATAAAAATATTGCAATCAGGAGCTTTGAACACCAGAGATGAAAGTTGCATATTAGAATTAGATTCAAGACATGGGACAAATCCTACTATTACGATCCTGCCATTTTCTTGCAACTGCCAGAAGCCAGAATTTTCCAGGGGAAAAGGATGTACAATCTCAAAAATGGGGCAGTCCAATTCTAGAATGAAAGATCTACACTACTTCAGGTAAACAAAGAGACTTTTCCGCAATATAAAACAAAGAGGTACAGATTCTGGAGGGTGCTAACTTTGTTTTTTCTCTCTAAGAATTGCTGACTTTCACCAGCAGTTTCTGTTTTTTTGTTTAAAGAGGTTTTTCTACACAATCGCAAGCTCTTCTAAAATGAGGATGTAACTGGATTGCAGTCAAGAACAGATACAACTTTTTGAATAAATAAACAGATTTAAAAACTGCTATCTTGATGGATTTTTAAATTGAATACATTGTATCAATGGGAAGTGATTCAACATTTACTCATTGCTATCATTTGAAGATACCTTTTTCTGCGATGTGAAATGTACTTTACCTCATTAACATCAGATTAACAATTTCTAACCCATCTGAAGACCTCCTCAGGTTTATAATTTTTTACTTGACAGCTCTATTGAACTGACAAGCACATTGTCTTAAGGTTAGTTACATCTGCTAATCACCCCAATTCCATAAATCACCTTAATGAACGCAGTTACAACTCCTACTGCAAAATTTACTAATAATTGTAATGGAGGCAAAACTGCTTTATTTACCTTTTAAACTCTTATTGCTGTTAATCAATAGCTCACGCCACCTCCCCAAGCAGCTGGTGTAAAATTTACAAACTGTTAAGGTCTAGCTGAATCCATGAACATTAAGAAATATACCTGCACCGGCTCCCATTGCGCCTCAATACTGCCAGTTACCTCATTAATTAAGATAGGTGAGTGCTATGTCTGATTCTTCTGCATCCTTGTGAAAATGGCCAAGGATGAAAATGGAGACACGAATCCTGGCTGTCATACTTGGTGGTCAATTTTTTTTCTCGTCCCACCTTTATTTGGTCCTCTAGTATCAGACCCCAATCAGCTGGAGAGAGCACAGATACCAATACTTCCTTATTAGAGATTTATTCACAGAATGCAGCATCAAACATCTCTACCACCTGCCTGCCAAGACCCTGTATTCTAGCAGCCCCTTCTGAATATTTTCAAGATACTTAATCAATATCCTCCACTTGTTTTTCTTTAAGTTTAACAACACAATTAACATAATATTAACATACAGTACAATAAAAATACAATTTGTGGTCTAAGAATATCTTTCACACATCCTCAAAGATATTAATAGTTCAAATGTTGCTATTTGTGGCAGCATAAGTATTCAATATCCCGATTTATACTTCATTGTCCAAGGGTGTGATATTATTTAGTTTGATACCCAAGTTTTTTTTGTAAATATGTTATGTATACACTACCTCTGCAATGTGTATGATAGAAGATGGGAGCTGTTAACCATTGATCTTGAAGAGGCAGCTTCTTTGGAAACCGTACAAGTTTTTGGAGAGGGGGCCGTTACACTGTAAGAGAGCGAGTAGCAAGTCTCACAGTGAACCGGTCTCTTTTCTAGAAGCTACACACTCGTCAACAGAAAAATGCTTTTTTAAAAAAAATTTAAAATAGTGGATTAAGTATTTGTAATTGTCTTACTTCTGCATTTTTCAACTATTTATTTTGTAAGCCTTTGCTAAATTGCATCTCCATGTGCCCAATCTTAATGCTGCTCTTTTTAAACACCTTGACATGTGCCATTTCTCAAATCCTGCTCAGGAAGAAATTGATAACGTAAATGTTATGTAAACTAACTACAATTTTAACACATTGTTAATTGAATGCATTTAATGTTGGTTTTATTTGGATAGGCTTGGTTAGTGCATTATGAAAAAGCTTCAAGAATGGACCAGTTCTTTGGCTTTGCTTTTGAAGAGGCCTGGAGAGTTTTATCCTAACTTGTGTCTTTTAGATCCCACTCAAGCAATTTCCTCAAAGCCAGCCACTTGACTTCCTCTCAACCTATCACCAACCATCTAATTGAAAATCTTCAGAGATAGTAAGAGCTGCCGATGCTGGAGTCAGAGATAGCACAGTGTGGAGCTGGAGGAACACAGCAGGCCAGGCAGCACCAGAGGAGCAGGACAATTGGTGGTTCGGGTCCATACCCTCCCATCCTGAAATGTCGACTTCCTGCTCCTCTGATGTTGCCTGACCTGCTGTGTTCCTCCAGCTCCACACTGTGATGTCTATTGGAAATGAAAATTTGACTAGTGTTTTTATTATTGAGTTTTCACACTGATTTTGGGCTAACTTTGAGTGCATATATATTGTAACCTAATGATTTCAATGAATGTCATAGAGTCCTACAGCACGGAGGCAGGCCCTTCGGCCTAAACAGGTCGAAAATGTCCATCCACGCCAACCCCATTTCCCTGCACTTGGCCCATATCCTTCTAAACCTTTCCTATCCATGTATTTGTCCAAACGTCTTTTAAATGTTGTTAAAGTACCCACCTCAACCACTCCTGCTGGCAGCTTTTCCCATATGTGTACCACCCTCTGTATAAAAAAGTTGTCCCTCTGGTTCCCATGTATTCTTTCCCCTCTTACCTTAAACTGATGTCCTCTAGTCCTTGATTCCCCAATCCTAGGAAAAAGATTGAGTGCCTATCCATGCCTCTCATGATCTTATACACTTCTATAACATCCCCCCTCAGTCTCCTACACTCCAAAGGGAAAAGTCCTAGCTTGTCCAATCTCTTCCTATAACTCAGTCCCTTGAGTCCTGGCAACATTCTTGTAAATTTCTTCTGCACTCTTTCCATTTTAATAACATCCTCCCTATAGCAAGGTGACCCAAACTGAACACAATACTCCAAGAGTGGCCTCACCAATGTCCTGTACAACTGCAACATAACTTCTCAACTTCTATACTCAGTGCCCTGACTGATGAAGGCCAGTGTGTCAAAAGCCTTCTTCACTGCCCTGTCTACCTGTGACTCCACTTTCAGAGAACCCAACACCTGAGCTCCAAGGTTCCTCTGTTCCACTACACTCCTTAAGGCCCTACCATTCACCATGTAACTTCTAGATTTGACTTTCCAAAATGCAACACCTCACACTTATCTATGTTAAACTCAATTTGTTATTTCTTGGCCCACTTCCCCAGCTGATCAATATCCTGCTGCAATTTCTGGTAACCTTTCTCACTGTCCACGATACCACCTATTTTAGTGTCATCCGCAAACTTACTAATCATACCTTGTACATTCTCATCCAAATCATTGATATAGTTAACTAACAGCAATGGGCCTAGCACCGACACCTGAGGCACACCACTAGTCACAGGCCTCCAGTCCGACAAGCATTCTTCCACTACTACTCTCTGCTTCCTACCATCAAGCCAATTGTGTGTCCAATTTTCCAACTCTTCCTGGATTCCATGCAATCTAACCTTGCAGAGCCTACCATGTGGAACCTTATCAAGGCCTTATTCAAATCCATATAAACTAGTGTACTGCCCTGTCCCCATCAACCTTCCTGGTCACTTCATCAAAGAACTCTAACAAATTTGTGAGGCATGCTCTCCCACATACAAAGCCATGCTGATGACTCTTAATCAAACTCGTCTTTCTAAATGTATCTATGTCTCCTCCCTCAGAATCTTCTCAAGTAACTTACCTACCACAGATGTTAAGCTTACTGGTCCATAATTCCCAGGTTTTTCTTTGCAGCCCTTCTTAGGTA